CTGCTCATCTTATTCTACATCAAGTTCACTGTTTCCAATATTAAGTACCTTAAACAAAAGCAAATAGTCGAAGTACTTATAGTTTTTTAACGGCACTATATTTCGAATATAAATGGAACAAGCAAAGAACCACGTTGCTTATCTACAAAGTTAATAAAATGCTTTACGTATATATTGTGACATTGTTACAAAAGTTGATCGTCTTATTCTTCTTTAGATAATTCTAATATCAGATTAAGCTCTGAAGTACATTTCATCTTATTATTATCCAATTTATCATTTAAAATTCTCTTCTTCTTGTTTCAGGTTTTAAATCTTGTTTCCAAACCATGGTGCCTTCGATACTTTTTTTTCTTTTGTTTTAAATATTTACGTTCATTGTAGCTTTTCCTATGTTTAGTACACATATGATAGTAAATATTAATTCAGAAGAGTATTCGTGAACATGATCAGATGACTATGCTTATACTTATTAGAATTATCTACATTTTTGTGCTTATTGGCTTTCAAACGACAATAGATTCTTCAAAACAAGACGTGAATAATAAGAACTTCGTATTTATTCTTATTGACGAGTTCTTAATATGTTACTTTGAAGTACTTTATTGTTGATAAGGAAGCACCAATATATACTTTGTCAGTGGAAACGCTGTACTTATATTTACTTCGTTTCAGATTTCTATTCGAAAAGCTGATCTAGTTTTATTTCATTTTATTTTTTTTCATCGATCGTCTGAACTACAAGTTCTGTCTATTGTTCCAATCATTTTGGTTGTACAACTGAAAGTTTTATTTGCTAAAAGTATCATCAACGTGTTTACTTGGTGTTAAACTTCTATTGTAGTGGTAACTAAGACTTTTATTTATTATTTTCGTCTTAAAGAGATAATTTCTTTAGTATGAAATTATAAATTTTGTTTTTATTAGTCTCCTCGTGCCATTTGCCTAAAGTAGATAATTTTTCAACTGTTTTCAAGAGCATTAGTTTAGTGAATTAGAGAGCTATATGGAAAATTTAATAGCTCAGAGAGTAAACCTATGCCTGATTTTAGATTTGTAGATTGTTTTGCTCCTCATTTAATATTTATTTAAATCTTACGGTATTATTTTTTGTTTTAGGCATTATTCAAAGCTTTTCATCTTATAGCACTACCCAGTTATTCAATTTTATGGACCCCAGACAGTGGAATAGTGTTCAAGTTAGCAAATGGTTATCATCGTTCTCAACAAACCAACAAGTTATTAATACCTTTATAAGTTAGTATAGTATTTAACATATGTCGCTTCCAAACTATTTTTATTGCCAATTATGCTCTAAATCAAAGCCTCATTGCACCTTTCGTAAACTATTTAAGCACATACAATATATTCATCTTGGCGAACCAAACGTTAAAATTCGATGTGAGCTTGGGATGACTTGTGGAACAACATATTCATCTTTTAGTGGTTATAAAGCCCATATTTATAGGGAACATACTATTCTTCTTAATGTAGAATCACGTAAACAAGAAGTCCAAAGTTATACTGATGCTGCCAATGATGAAACATTAGATGATATATGTGTGGATTTCGATATGGAAAGAAACCACAAAACCGAAGAAGAGTTGAGCGAGAATGAATCACAAATTAACTGTGAGAGTTTTATTAATTGGCCACTATTTAATGAAAACCTGAATAAATGTTCGAATGACATAATCAATCTAGAGTTTTTCGAAAGATTTTACGTACGTTTTCTACTGCAACTGAGAGAAGGTCATTCATTACCACAAAATATAATTCAATCAATTACTTGTGGTATGTTATCTTTAATCGAGTTCATTCATGACCTGATAAAAAAGGAAATAAAACCATTATTGGACGAAAGTTCAAGAACAACTGTTGCTCCACCATCAAATGATGTCATATTATTAACCGATGTAAACCACATTTTTTCAAGCATTGGAGAAAAAATAGTAAAGGCTACTAATGGAGAGTACAATTTTTTAAAGCTATGCCAAAAGTATTATTCATATGAACCACCCAAACCTATACAACTTGAAGGACAAAGTGATGTAGCATTTTATATTCCAATAAAATCTAGTATCCAACAAATGTTAAAGAAACCTGATGTCACGGAAATGCTGTTAAAAAATTTAAATAGAATTAACAATCAACATACTGCTGACCCTGATTTAATGTTCAATTACCGACATGGATCAGAATCGAAACAACATCCAGTTTTAAGCCATAATCTTGATTCATTATTAATTAATTTATACACTGATGATATAGGTTTGACAAATCCACTTGGTGCAAAAAAAGATGAACAAAAAATTACTATGGTGTATTTTCAGCTTGAGGACTTGCCAGACACTGTTCGATCAACGCTGAAATCAATTGGACTTGTGGCTATGTGCCATTCAGAGTATCTGTCTATACCAGAAAATAAAAATAAAAATTTTGAAATTATAATCGAAGACCTGAACAATTTACAAACAAATGGTTTGTTAATACCAACTTTAAACCGGCAATTTAATTTTGCCTTTAGTGTTTTATCTGGAGATCACTTGGCTAACAACTTCATGGGTGGTTTTCAAAAGAATTTTAACAGTGGCCAATGTTGTAGAATTTGCCATTTTTCTTATGATGAAAAATGAATCCCTTTAACTGATATTACGTTTACTCAACGTTCGATAGATGAACATGATCGTTTGGTACAGCAGGTTCTGATGCTGAACAATGGCATCATAATACAAGGTGTATCTGATATAAGTCCACTATCAAAATTACTTGGTTTTCATGCAGTGAAGTCTTTACCCAATGACCCAATGCATGATTTTAATGAAGGTATCAATAATTAATCTTTGATTTTCTTCTAAATTAGTATACTTTTAGAATTTATTTTAGGTTTGTGTGGGCCGGTAATATTTGCAATGTTAAAAGAAGCCTCAAACAAACGAATCCTCACATATGGTGAAGTGGAAGAACGGTTAATAAATTTCGAGTAGGGTAGTGATGACAAATCAAATAAACCACCAATTATCAAAAAGAAACATCTCAGTAAAGGAAAAATCATTGGCACAGCATCCCAAAAAATGTGTTTATTTCGACTATTTCCAATCATTTTTCATGATATATTTGATCAACTAGACACGAAGGACATATATACATGTTTACGTGAATTAGACATGATTTAATTCTCTTCTTTTATTTTATTTTAATTTATTTTAAATTTAAATCAATTTAATTTGATTTGATTTGATCTTATAGTTTATTAATTTAAATTTAAAATTTACAAATTGTGACGTTTCGTATCTCGATAAGATACTTCATCAGACATNTGTACATATGTCATTTGTCTAAAATTTTTATGTCTGATGAAGTATCTTATCGAGATACGAAACGTCACAATTTGTAAATTTTAAATTTAAATTAATAAACTATAAGATCAAATCAAATCAAATCAAATTGATTTAAATTTAAAATAAATTAAAATAAAATAAAAGAAGAGAATTAAATCATGTCTAATATATCAACCTTCTTAACAAAACAAGAATGTTTACGTGAAATAATCAGTATTGTATTTGCATGCCCGTTACGAAAATCGTGGATATCGTATCTTGACTCATTAACAATTCGATTTCAGTGCTTAATGGAGCACATAATTCCTAATCTAGTAACACCGAAAGTTCATTTCATAACTGACTATGCAAAGCAAATTGCAATGAACGGCCCACCTATTCGCCATTGGTGTATGCGATTTGAGTTGAAGCACAGATATTTCAAACAACTTGCCACGAAATCTAATAATTTTAAAAACATAATCATTTCACTATCTAAACGTCATCAACTACATCAATGTTTTCTATTGTCCTCGTGGAACTACTTTCAAGCGAATGAGCAATTTTCTTCGCCGAAGCAGGTTAAATTAAATGAATTATCAGCAGCTGTTCGTCAACTATTACATGACAATATTGAATATTTTGATTATGCAACACATATATCAGAATGCCAACAGCTGGCACATGATCATGTAAAAATCATGAAAGGATCTGTATTTGTGGATACTATATCACATGAAGAAGAAGTACCTTCATTCATGCAATTGGCTTTTATTTTCAAGATAAATAATAAATGGGTATTAATAGTCGAACAACTTCAAACTATTGCATTTGTTGAAACTCTATGGTCATTCGAACTCGAAAGAACACGTATATTATTGATCAAAAAACCGAATGATTTAATTCTTATATCACCTAAAGGATATGATATTTATCAAGTGAAAAATAAATCATATGTTAATATTCTTTCACGTCTAACTAAAAAATAAAAAATGAACATATATGAAAATGAAAATTACTGTATGAGTAATTTAATATCATTCTGAATGCGCTACAGTTCAACCAAAATAAGACTTTTTGGATTTTGATGTATCTGTTTCGATCTGCTTAATAACATGTACTCTATATTTTTAGGTGAAGACATTGATGGTGACACTCTTTTTAATTTGCCGCAGTCAACGATATTCGAAATAGTAACAAAATTGAAAGAACGTGTACGTTTTCTAACTGAACATCGTGCTTTATTTAATGGTAGCTATAAAAATAGTATTGAAAAAACTTCATCCGATATACAATCGAATGATTTCAATGATAACAATATTCAGCAAACTGTACAAGAAACATTTACAAATCAATATACAACAATGTCAAATGTTGCATATTTAAATGAAGGTCAAAATGATTTATCTGCATATGATTCTTCCGTCAATAATATAGATATTGATGAGGAAACAGTGGGTTCAAAACAAGACACAAATGATACGGAGAAAGAAAATAAAGTTGAATCGAAATTTTCTGATGTTTACATTTTACCTGATTTACCCAATAAAATTCGACAACTAATAAGTACTCAAGAGATAAAGCATTTTCGAAATCATACAAACTCTCGTCGATTATTGCTTGATGTTATTTTTGCCGATGTTACAGAAAAATATTCGTTACTGTAAGCTTTCGTGCCATTCTTCGACAAATAAACTTCGTTTTTTACTTCTGTTTTAGCTATCCAAATACAAAACAATACAAATCAATCGCAACAGCAATATTAAAGGAATTGAATATAACAAAACTCTGATAGAGCATCGGTGAATAACTTTTTGTTAATGATTGAGAGCCTAAATTGCCACCTTTACATCTAGACACGCTTAATCAGCAATTCTATTTACTTATGTCCAAGTTTGATTAAATATGAGTAACGCTTTTATCAGGTTGAATACCATCATAAAGTTGATACATTCTTAATTACCAATTGTGCGTGAGAAGTACTTGATAATTCCAATACTGTAATAAAAAAGACTTAAAAGCTTTTCAAGCTATGCCTATTGCAGAAGCGGCGGATTCTCTGTGACAAAACACAATTTAACATCTGTTTCTTTTTTCAAGTCTAAAAAACACACAGGTTCTAAAATTAGTTTCAAGTAATAGCTTGGTTTGTAAAGATTTTCATTGCAGAATGTTCATTGGATTGTATTTTTTCTAAGTAATAAAAAAAAGTGTTGCTAAAGCTAGTTTCTACATAACATTGTATTTTCAATTGAATTGAAAGTTATGAATGCACAATTGTTCATCACAACCGAAAATATTTCGGTTAATTTATCTGTAGAAAGCAGATACTTATCGCCCAATTGCCGTAATTATTTGCGTCAGATCAGGAAGCAGAAAACATGTTCTGAAAGATGTTAAGACACTACCATTTATTTGAGTTTGCCATATTAGATGTAACTCGAAGGAAATTGAATATGTATTGCAATGCACAAAAATGTGAACATTGGTTTTATATCATATACTAAAATAAGTACAAAAGCATGTTCAATAGTTCTTATAGTATCTATTATTACAACTGACTAAACCCATCATATAAAATAAAATAATGCTTGGCTACAATTTTAAAAGAGTTCATTTATAGAGGTCCGGAAGCACATAATGTGAAAATGGGGAATTACTGACAACGTAGAACTATAAAAACTAGCACTCGAAAATACACGTTGTAATGCATAGATCTTATATGCCTTAACATCCATTTATTCAAATACCATACGTGTATAAATTTGTATGCATCAGGATAAAGACAAACGGATCAGTTATTGAGTAGCTCGGCAGATGCGTATACAGATGTTTTGAATCAATCAATCAATCAATCAATCACTGAATGCAATGTACCATTCATCTATTTATTTTCTCATCTTTCATCTATCAACACCTATATTTTATTCAACGATCATAACTGTTAAGTGTCATGCACGTAATTATCTAAAATATCGACATACTTGCGTAATGCTATTAAATAATATATTTCCAAAACTAATTTCTATAAAGCTATTGGAAAATTCTTTATGATAAAATAAAGCGAGATAGTAAATAATAAAACTTCCAAACTTTCATTTGGTTTATGTTGAGGTTTTCGTTTTTTTAATGTTTTTTAATTGATAGGATTAGCACTCAAGATTTTCCTCATACAAGGACTAATGAATATAATAGTGTTGCAATTTTTTAGAGCGAATGGATTGAAAGTCTGAAATGTAAATTTAAACGTGACCGTCGTCCACTTCAAGAGATATCGGAACAAGTACAGAAAATGAAACAGAAACATGGTAATGTGACTGGTCGACCGCTCAAACAAAGTGTTAATGAAGTTGCTGCACGTCGTGAAGTACGTGCAAATTATTTATACAATGGTGAAATGACGTGAAAAAATAAATGAAGTATTTGTTTTTCTTTTAGTCTCAGTTTCACTTTTTGAATGTACTAAATGTCAATGATGATCTTCATGACACAGACAAACACGTACAGTTAATGAAAACGAGTTTGGCGGAGTCAAATGGTACTTTGGAAAGTCTCAAGATTTCATGGAAAAAGACATTGACTACACGCAGATCGTATGTAAACGACCATACGACGGCTGAGGTGCTTGAAGAGTATCCTGGTTTTAAAAACATTTCATTGGTAAGCATATGATGAGCAAATCCTCAAAATATTTCATTTACTCTTTTTTCTTTCTTCAAATGAAACTATTGCACTTCTTTTAAACGTTTTTTTTCCTAGATTTTTGATGAGATTCTATATTTTTGCAACGTTAATATTGAACAAAATTTAGCATCAATGCTGCCAAAATTACTGCATAATGTATCACATCTATCTGACTTTGTTATTGGTAAAAAAAATCTCAGATTGATTTACAAGTGTTCTGTGCGTTTATTTGAAAGCGCTCCCTCTCTTTAGATTTACCAAGCATTCGTTTAGTCAAACTTTTGTCGAAGCATTTTACTGACTCTTGGCAATACATTTTGACCGAGAAAGTAAGTAAATTTTTCATTGCTACACAAATGTAGCAAATATGTAAATGATATTATTACGCGAGTATTTCAGACATAAAAATATCTTCATAGATGACTAATTTTTCTACTATTTAGGAACCACTATCACCTCGTCCAACTATTCAAGTAAGAATGGATAAATTTGCAATATATCTGGATTATGAATTCATTACTGAAACAATATCATTTGATCAAGCATTAGCTATAATAATCTCTTTGTATGCGATATTCGAACTACAATTCGGTGCACATAATAGAGTAATTCATTTACTATATGGAATATTCATGCAACAACCTGAAGTATTAACAAAATCAATGCGAATTCTATTAAGCGACTGGAACTTCAAGATCGATTATAAAGAACTCGAACCAAATAGACTAACGACATCAAACATATCTGTAACAAATAAGCCATGCGCAAGGACAACAACGGACTTGCTATATATTGAAACAGATGAAGCTGATCGTTTCGTTGAAGATGAACACGATGAATCATTGACTGAAAGGATAAGAAACTCAACAACATTTAATGAAGTAACGATTGAATCATCAGTATTGACAACTTCAAACTATCATTCAAATGAATCAACAAAATATACATTGTGTGCTAATACAGATTTTATTGCCGAGAATCAAACAAAACAATCACAATCATCAGCTGAATCGCTTCTTGATGATCCTCCATTATTTATAGATATGAAGTCAATAAACCGACCTACTTTCGATACAGTATCTGATTGTGATTCATCGCGATGTGCAAACGAAAACGAAAAAAAAACGATCACCAACAAACGACAAATACCACGAAATGGAAGTCGATACTTATCGAAAAATTCAACAGCTGCTACAAGAGCAACAAGAAAACGCCGTGTTAGTCCTGAAGCAGCATCATCATCAAGACCAAAACGCACAAGAACGGCAAAAAATCATTCGTAGGATAGACTTATTCTTCTGCTTCACTTTTTTTTCATTATTTGTTTTTAACTTTGTCTCTTTACTCAGTCTTCGCAGCATAAAAGAAAACTAAGAAATGTAGACAATTGTATAATGTTAATGTTTTCATGAAAACATTAATTTTTCCATATTACTGAATTAGGCTTTTCTAAGGAAACGTTATCTACAATTATTAATCAATTAACTGATCTTAATAGCTAATGTTTTCTCCGAAAGTGTTAATTACTTAATATGGAAAGTTATAATGCTTTCATGAAAACATTAACCATTAATATTAAGTCATTGATTTTAATGAAAACATTAACATTAATATTAATGATTAATGAAAGTATAATCCCTAATATTAACGAAAACATTACTATTCATACTAATGGTGAATGTTTCCGTTAACCGTTAATATCATTTAAGAACATTGACATTAATATTAATGATTAATGAAAACATTAATTTTAAAATTAATGTTAATGTTTTTTTATTAATCATTAATGTTAATGAATTAAGTTTTTCTCAGAAAACATTAAGCATTAATATTAATGGTTGATGAGAAACATTAACATTAATATAAAATTAATGTTAATGGCCCACCCCTACTTGATACTGTGAGCAGTTTTAGTTCACTAGATATATCCGAAATTGAGCAATGACGAAGAGTGAAAACTTCTTTTGAAAGGTTTAAGGGCTATGATTTCTTTCATTCAACAGAATCTTCCAAAAGCATTCAAAACTCTAGTTATCTTTCGATGCATCAAATAGAAACTCGAGGTTGGATTTCTGGTTGTTAATGCACATTATAGCGATTGAGTAGACTCAGAAACTATTAGGGTTGCGTGGAGAAATATTTAGAGAATTGACAAGATAATCTGATATACTTTATCAGATGTTGAGTCAAGTTTTCAATAGTGTAGGTTTTCATTATCAGGGAAAAGGGATTTGAAAAATACTCTTAGGGCTGTAACTCGGGTTACATTTTTTATTAGATCTTTAACTTACGCTGCTCTCATTGAAAAGTGCTTGATACACAGAAAGCTGTAGCGAATCAAACATCTAACTGTCAAATCACTTTTTCAATATTTCTTGTACGAAAATAGTGAATTTTCGAATTTAAGAACATTATTCTAAATAATACTTTGAAATGCATTGAGTAATAATGCATTATCTTAAAACTGTGCATTATTTGTAATAATACATTGTAATGCATTGAAATTTTAGGCATTATCCTTCATTTTCACCATTATTTGGAATAATGCATATTCATTTTGTTTGAAATAATGGAAAATAATGGTTGATTTTTTCCATTATTCATCCATTATCGGCTACATGGGTAGTATCCGTAAATGCAGATTTTATTTTTGGAGTGATTAAGAGAACCCTAGTTTATGGAAAATTTTAGCCATTCGTACATGAAGACACTTTGGGCCTCGGAGTTTTGGGATTCCATATGTATTTGTATGAAATTCGCTCGAACGTTTCTGTTGCATCCCATGTAGCTGGTCGTTGCATTATTATGTAATTGCATCCATTATTTGCCATTATAATGCATTATAATGGCAAATAATGGATACAATTACATAATAATGCAACGACCAGCTACATGGGATATATTTATATCATTATTTGGAAAATGATTGAATGTCTCATGGTAATGAGCTCTCATTGTGGATATACATTGATGTGTCGTTCAAGAGTAGTGGTTTGCCCACAACAACATCTACTACCACAAGCTTATCAAAAAACAGAGAGACTGAGAGCTCACGCGTCGTCGTGGCCACATTCCTATTTATTCAATTAGATATTCCATGATTATATACTTAAGCCTGCATACTCTCTAGCGCGGTGTCAATCAACATACGTAAGGTCGTTAAATTAAATATCGTAGATGCAGAATTTTGTGAATCTGACGCTCCTGAGTAGTCCCAAACTTGATCGTCAAGTCCATTCACTTGGTAGTAAAGTTTTCTCACATGAGACCAATGTTGAAGAAATTGACGTTCCAGTGATCCACTTTGTCCTTTTTTCAAACCGTAGTAGTCCCTATCGATACAATTGTCTGCGATAATAGCGTGAGCTCCATGTGGAAGAAACGGAACCTTTGTTGCAACAGCACCAGCCGGTGTAATTAAAATCGTTGTGGCTGTAAGTTTTTCTAGTTGCTGAATAATTCCAATGTGTTGCCATTGGACTACTTCGATAGGTATTCTTGGATAAGTTATTCGTACAAAGTCTACGACTTCTTTTAAGTTGGCTATTTTTCGTCTTCCTTCGGGAAGAACGTGTGATGACGTTTTGTTGACGATAGTGAATTGATGTTTATTCGGAATATGGTGAGGGTTAATTCCATAATAGCTCATTATTTTGTTACGCCATTTGTAGAGAAGTGGCTCCACTTCATGATATTCTCTTCCTGCTTGGTCGAACAAATATAGATGACCACCGACTAGAAACCTATCAAAACACACGTGCTGTGTTTTAAACGATCGAATGTAAGAGCGAAACTCCACAATCGGGTTCGGTGTCAACACAGGACGAATGAACTTCTCGAGTCGTACGAATGCATGATGGGTAGGGATATGATCAGCATGCAGGATAACTGACTCCTCATCAACTTCATTCATCCTTTCCATTACATAAAAAACAGCAGCAAACTCTTCCCAAATGGCGTGACCGAAGTTGTAGTCCAGATATGCTTCCTTCCATAGCTGATGCACATGAATGAGCCTGGTGAAGTTCTTCGTAGGATATGGTTCGTCCACAATGAAGGGTGCCCATGATCTCTGAGCACGAGGCATCGCGATTGCTGCAAAATATTGCCCTGATTTTGGAAACTCGGTCAAAGCTCGTTTGTTCACATCGTAAAAAATTGGTTTCTTTTGCGTGTTGGTCGCACGCCTAAAATAATGAAACTGCTCTTTCGATATGTCAAAGCAAATATTATTGAATACGCAAGCTCGCTCTCGCCAGTTCTCAATATGGTTTTCATCGCCCACACAGCGATATCTAGAATAATGTTCATCTCTTCTCTGATGAAAATATTCGATGTTTATTCGGCGAACAAGAGGAGGAACCTGGTGTGTAAGAATCATACGACATAAATCGTGCTGTATTCGGATTGGCAAAGACGCTTTTATTCTTAACATAACTACAAACGCTAAGGAACCAATCAGTACAAAAATCAAATAGAATCGAAAAACCACGCGTATTGCAGTTGGAACAATCATCGTTGCCTGACTATCAATGCCTACACATCTTATTGTAGAATCACTAAAATATTATTAGAATTATAAAAAACCTTTCCACGTACCCATCGAAAACTTCTAATCATCCATTTCATTAGGGGTGCATCAGCTCCAGCTCAAAAGTTCAGCTGAGCTGAGCAAAAAATCTGTTCGAACGTTCGTTCAGTAGGAGCTGATTGATTTGAACAGCTCGTTCAAAAAGAGCTGATCTGATCGAATAGCTCTCGTTCCTGAACTGGACTTTTTCAACAGCTCATCCGAAAAGAGCTGATCTGATCGAACAGCTCTCTCTCTCTCTCTCAAGAGCTGATTGGCATTATGCCAAAAATACCATCCAAAATCGTTTTGAATTCACTTTAAATAACATATACAATTTTTCAAGGGTCATCTTCGGCAGTTCTTTATAACTTTTCAAAGATTACTAAAAGATAGTAAGTACAATTTTTCGAGAGCTGGTTACTATTAGTAACTCTAACTATCTATCATTTTTCAGAAGTGATACTTACAGGTTTTTCAGCGCTGTCTGGAAATGGTATTTAAAGCATTTATGAAACACAATTTAATACGAATGTTGAAGCGCATGGACAGATTTGGATAGTATTTTTGGCATAATGTCAATGAGTTCTTGAGA